CACAGGAAGTACCTCCCTCTCTCGGGGAAGCTAGGAGCACTGGAGGAGGTAAGATTTTATCTCTGAGCTCTGACCTCTCGGCTTTTCTCTTTTACCTTGGCTCTGTGATTCTTATTTTAATAATACGATTGGTTACATCTACAGGAGGTGGTAACTCAGGATCAGGGTAGTGCTGGGAGCACCCGCCCAAATAAGGACACAGTATGGCAGTGGCCAAAAAGCTATAAAGACTCAAGGCAGGGACTGGGCAGACTGGTTCATGTCTGTAATTCCCACAGTGGAGGCTGAGGCAGGAGGATTGCCCTGAGTTTGAGGCCAGCCTGAACTACATAGTGAGTTTAGGTCCGAACCAGACCCCCTCAAGTTTTCTGACACCCATTTTCATGATGTAAACCAATGTTATCGTCTACACAGATCTCTAAGCCTGGTTACCAGGGTACATTTATAGTTTAAGATGAGTGATCTTGACCTTGAGAGCCTGACTCTGGTTATGGTTCCAATTCCAAGTTAGGGGGAACACCTGGACTCCTGCCTCTTATCCACAGCTCTGCCCTTCTCCAGAGTACTCATGGAGCGGCTCTGACCGACGATACTCTATGAAGTTCAGGCAGCCAACTCGGGGCAGCTAAGGGAGAGTCACCTTCTTCCACATGTGCTCTCATGGCTCCCAATGCCAGGAAGGGAACCTCTGCAGCAGGAAGGCAGGGCCTGCATAATAACCAGAGACAGAGAGGCGGGCTCAACAAGGAGTCATGGAGACGGTCATGTAAAGAATGGTGGTCCTTCCCATTTGCTTTCTTGACCCAGCAGAACCTAAGCCTGTCTGCTCTGTTTCTGTTGTTTGTTTGTTTGGTTGGTTGGTTGTTTTGTTTTAGGATTTATTTTTATTTTGATATGCATTGGTGTTCTGTCTGCATGAATGACTGTGTGAGGGGGTCAGATCCCCTGGAACTGTATGTAGTTACAGACACTTGTGAGCTGCCACATGGGTGCTGGGGGGAACCGGGGTCCCCTGGAAAAGCAGCCAGTGCTCTTAACAGCTGAGCCAGCTCTCCAGCCTCCCTGCTCGGCTTGACAGGCCATCTCTCTGCCATGCCTGGCCATGGGATCACCGGAGCACAGTACTGCGGTTAAGAAGCCAAATGATGAAACTAACCATGGAAACAGGGTAATATCTGAAACCCAGAAGCAAGGCAAGGTCACTGCTGGCCAATTCAGCATCTGCTTCACCTTGTTCACCCACTCAAGTCCCTTTGACCTGGGGCCGCTTACTGCTGACCCCCGTGCTATGGTCTGGTATGTACTCGGGGTGAGATGATGCAGTGGGAAGTCTGGAGGAGAGAAGGACGTTGTTTGAACCTCTGGTACCCGCTGATGGTTTGAAACCTGTGCAAATACATGCTCCTTGACATCAGGATTTCCTTCTCTGCTAAATGGGCTGAAGACTGCGTTGTATGTGGCCACCGAGGTAGCTTGTATCACTAGCCTAACAACCTGAGCCTGATCCCCAGAACCCAGGGCAAAAGAAGAGAACCAGCTCCTGACCTCTGAGTACTCACCATGCAATGGGCTCTCTCGCTCACTCGCTCTCATAAATGAATACACTGTTTTAAAGTTTTAGAAGAATTACAGTTGAAAGTTGAATCATGTTTGCCCAAATTCATATCCAACTAGAATTTCATCACCTTAGATGGAAACAGGGTCTCTGCAGATGTAATGTGCTACTGTGAGGTCATACTGGGTGAAGGTGGCTCTCATCACAAAGAGTCACCTTTGTAAGAAGAGATGTCATAGCGACACAGAGGAAGGAGCCGTGAGAACATGGAGGTCAACTCCCAAGTCACGCATCTACAAACCAACAGTATTCAGCCACAGGAGTCAATAGCTGAGACACGGGGTACAGATTCTTTCTCAGAGCCCGCAGGAGCTCCTGTCATGCTTCATTTCCTCCTGGGCTAGCAGCACATCCCCTGGCGTTGCTGTAAGTCACCATGACTCTGGTGGTTTGCTAGAGAAGGGATGGGAGGCAAACGTGCTGACCTCACAAGGCCATCACGAAGGATGACTCGGAAATGCCAGGCCCTCAACATGAGGTCCTCCAGCATGAGTTGCCTACTGGTCTTCACGCAGGGTTTTAAAGCCAGAAAGAGCAAGGGAATACATGAGAAATAGGGCTTCCTTGGGGAGTGGCCACTGCAGACTTCCCAACTACCCAGCTAGAGCAGAAGCCTGCATGATACAGCTGAATGAAGAGGCCAGTGTACAAGACAACTGGTCTGGAACTGGTGATGGGGGGGTGTCCCTGTCAAACTGGAGAGGCACTGTAAGAGCCCAGAGTCCCCAGAGACGTTGGCCAAGGCTGCTGAGTGGGTGAGCAGAACCTTTATCATCTGTGATACACCAGGTATCAGACGTGATTTTCACACACAATCACATTGGTTCCTTAAAATAAGCCCGAGAAAACAGTATATTTTTTAATGTACTTTTTGTTTTGTTTTGTTTATGGAGACAGGGTTTCTCCGTGCAGCTCTGGCTGTCCTGGAACTCACTCTGTAGACCAGCCTGGTCTTGAACTCGGAAATCCATATGCCTCTGCCTCCTGAGTGCTGGGATTAAAGGCATGGACCACCACCACCCAGTTTAAAATGTATTATTTTATTTAAGACAGGTTCACATTGTGGAGCCCAAGCTGGCCTGGAATCCTCTATGTCAGTGGTTCTTAACCTTCCTAACGCTGGGACCCTTTAATATAGTTCCTCAGGTTGTGCTGACCCCCAACCATTAAATTATTTTGTTGTTGCTTCATAACTGTAATCTCCTACTGCTATGAATCGTAATGTGAATATCTGATATGCCAGATATTTGATATGCAATGCTCCCCCCTCCCCAGGTCTGGACCCACAGGTTGAGAACCATTGCTTTATGCAGACCTGGTTGGCCTTGAACTCACAGACAATGGCTTGTCTCTGCCTTCCAAATCCCAAGATTAAAGATGTATGCCACCATTCCAGGCTGATATTTTTGCAACTATTTTATGGCTTAAGAAAGTGAAGTTCAGAGAATTGTTGTTTTTGTATTTCTATCTCTATCTATCTATCTATCTATCTATCTATCTATCTATCTATCTATCTATCTATCTATCTATCATCTATCTATCCATCTTCTATCTATCTATCTATCTATCTATCCATCTTCTATCTATCTATCTATCTATCTATCTATCTATCTATCTATCTATCTATCTATCTATCTTTTTCTCAATCATCTCTCTATCATTTGGCAGTACTAGGAACTGAATCTAAAGCCTCATGAACAGTAGACATGTATTCTACTATTGAACCATATACTCAAGCTCACTTTACTTTTTTATTTTGAGACAAGGTCTCACTAAGTTAAGTTGCCCGGGCTGGCCTGGAATCTATGAGCCTCCTTCAGCCACTTGAGTAGCCGGGATTACAGGCTTGTGCCACCCAGCCCAGTTAGGTTCAGAGAATTCCCTTGTCTAAGGGCCTCAGCTGAACGAATGGCGAAGCTGGAGGCGAGGCGTCCTGGCTCAGGGCTTTCAGCCACTAACTCTTTTACATGTAAAAGTAGAAACTGGGGCAGCCTGAACTTGAACCTCATCTAACAAGCAGGACTGGCGACTGGATCATTTTTCTCCCTCACCAGCTGCAGTCAGCCCTACACAGTTCTAGGTTCCCGGTGGATGGATTCAACCAAGCATGACTGGAAAAATACCAGAACGTTGTGTTGGTATTAAACAGGTACAGACTCTTCCCACATGTTATTCCCTAAAACAACACATCAGACCAACTCATTACACAGCATTTACATCGTCTTGGGTATTAGAAGTATTCTAGAAGAGATTTAATATAGTAGGCAAATCCTATGTGGTAGTTCAGAAATCAGTGCTCCATGGACACAGAACTGTACACTAAATGGTTTCTAGAATTAATAACACCACACACTATGCGTGTGTGTGCGCGTGCGTGCGTGAATGTGTGTGTGTGTGTCCTTGTGTGTTGGCATTACAGAAAAAAATGGCACAGATAAGAATAATGGAGCAATTATTAGCCTAAACCCTGCACTGTGTGGGCATTCTGCTAGCCTTTGACATGCGCTGTCTTCTATTCTTCCAGCAGCTCGGTAAGGAATGCTACTCTCCAGTTCACAGATAAAGACACTGGCGCTCAGAACTCAAGTAATTTGCCCAAAGACACAAAGCAAGTTCAGGCAGAACACAGAGAGAGCTAAGCCCTGCTCTGACTGGTCTCCAAAGTCTGCTGTGGAGAAATGCATCTTGGCATCTCTCTGTCTGCTGCCCTACAACACATGGTATGCTGTGGCTTGATAAGGAATGAACTGGAGGGGCAGGAGAAATCGGTTAAGAGGGGTCAAGAACACTTGTTGCTCTTGCAGAGGACCAGGGTTCAGTTCCCAGCACTCACAGGAGGGCTCACAACTGTAATGATACTGCGGCGCACCGGGACCTTTGGGCCAAGGCGCCCCACAGCGGGTGAGAGACGGAGAAGCCATGCAGGCAGCACTCAGTGAAGAAGGTGGGAAGAGAAGAGGGGGAGAGAGAGATAGGGAGGGGGGAAGAGAGGAGGGTGCACATCTCGTGGGAATAGAAAGGGGGAGAGGAGTTTTCTCTTAAAGCAGGCTTTATGTCAGGATGCAGGACAGGTCCCCAAGGGGCGGGTCAGAACGCCAACAACAACTATTTGAAACTCCAGTTGCTGGGGACCCAATACTGTGGACACAGGGCCTCTACATGGTGCACATTCATACACAGAGGCAAAATACTCATAAAAATAAACCTTAAAAAAGAGGCTTTCATTTCAGCACTAGGGAGGCAGAGACAGGCAGATCTCTGTGAGTTCCAGGCCAGCCTAGTCTCCATAGTGAGTTCCAGGCCAGCCAAGGCTACATTGTGAAATGCTGTCTCAAAAAACAAAAACAAAGAGTAAAGAACAAAATAGAAGGCCAACAAAATGGCACAGCAGATAAAGGTTCTTGGAGCCAAACATGATGACCGCAGTTCCATCCCTAGGAACCCCATGGTAGAAGGAGAAAACTGATCTCTCAGGCTGTGAGATCACATACACACCTACACTAACAAACATACAGGAGACCCTTTAGTGCACCTCAGCTAGGAGAAAACGCCAGGCTTGGCCACCCAACCCTCGGGATGCCTGGCATTCTCAGTCTCCCTAACACTCAAGTGAGTTTTCTTCAGCTGAGTGGTTGGAATTCTCCAGATAGTGTAGGAGCCCCTCCCAAGAATGTCTGTTTGTCTTGTACACAGGTTCCAGCACAATAGCTAAGGATCTTGGAACAGCCAGGCCATTCCGGATATGGACCTCTCCCCAAACAGGCAGGACAGAGAAGGTGGGGGGTTGGGGGATCTAAGAGCAGGAAATTGCCGTGTGGAGGTAGTGGGGGCCTGGTGTCTCAGGAACACAACCTACAAACAGTTCAAGCTGTGAGATGCTGCGTGGTTGTAGGGACCTGAGGGTGACTGCAGCCAATGTGTTGCTTTGATGAATAGACTTCCTGCCCCACACTGGCTCAGCTTGGGATGTTTTTACTCCTGTGTGTGTGTGTGTGTGTGTGTATGTGTGTGTGTGTGTGTGTGTGTGTGTGTGTGTGTGCCTATGTAGACCAAACCTAGAGTTTCTGAGCTACATCCACAACCTTTTTGTTGTTGTTTTTGAGAGAGGGTTTCTCTGTACATCCCTGACTGTCCTGGAACTCACTCTGTAGACCAGACTGGCCTTGAACTCACAGAAAACCACCCGCCTCTGCCTGCCAAATGCTGGCATTAAAAGCATGTGCCACCACCACCCCACCTATAGCCCATTTTAAATTTTTTATCTGAAGACGGGGTCTTGCTAAATGACCCAGACTACATAGCCCACGTATGTCTTGAATTCACCATCTCCTGCTCAGCCTCCTTCCCAAAGAGCTGACATTACAGGTCTGCAGCGCCAGGCCTGGCTGAACCTTTTACTTTTCAGGGGTATAGAAGTGACTGGCATTCAGCAGAAAGCCCACGTTGCATTCTGAACTCCCCACCCTAAACCCCTCGGGACTCTGCAGTAACTGCCGCTTTCCTCTGCTTCGTTCAGTGTTTTTAATACTCACCCGTGAGTGAGAGCACGCAATACCTGACACCACATTCCTCTATCCACCCGCAAATGAACACTTAGGGGGACTCTGGTTTGCTATCGTGGATAATGTTGCTGTCAACATTGACTACAGACATCTCTTCAGCAGACGCCTTTCATACTTTAGCCGTATATCCAGAAATGGAATTTCTAGATCATAGTGTATTTTTTTTTCCTCTTTGAACCTAGACTTAAACCAAGCCAAAATAAAACACCACCACCTGCCCCTCCTAACAGGAAATTATGGCTCGGCCACCCTTTTCAAACCTTACCTCCTTTCCAGAGCCATTCTCCCTCTGGCCCTTCCCATTGCTGTGGGAGTCTCTCCCTTCTGCAAAGTCATTAGGTTGTGCACAGGGAGATCAGTCAAACCTGCTCCCTAAGACATACAGCATCTGCTTCATCACGGCCTGCAGGTCTTTCTAGAGAGCCTGCCAGGTTCGGGCAGATGGTCTCTGAGAACAGAGTTATCTTTTGTAAATGTTTTTATCAGTACTAGTCAGGGGCTGTCATGGTCACCCACTGTCTTCCAGGGCTAAGGAGGCCTCTTCCAGACTTTTGTTTCCTAGAAGGCTTGAAATCCCCCAGCCTGACCATAACCTTTAACCTCTAGAGGTTTCTGAAGTCTTAGTAACATTCTGCAATCTTTCAAATTACAGGTCAAA